TGTTACGGAGCAGAGTATCAGTGCCTGTAATCAGCCTAGTGAGCCAATCAGGATGTGCAGTGTTACGGAGCAGAGTATCAGTGCCTGTAATCAGCCTAGTGAGCCAATCAGGATGTGCAGAGGCCACAAAAGCCCCCTTCCAGTCGTTCAGATGGCATCAAAGCCGTCCATCTCAAATCAAAGCTCTCACCAGCTGTGGCCTCCATTTTTTATTTATCTTTTTTTTTTTTACAGTAAGAACAACTTTTACAAAGAAAACACCTAACTCGCTAGTTGGGAGGGGGGGTGTCTCCTCAGTATCTTGCCAGCCAGGGAGGGTGTGAATGTGCTGGTCAGAGTGTATGTGACCTCTAGATTAGACTGACATTCATCTGTGTCTAATTTTTAACAACTGATACAACTGCCTTAATTTGGTCCCAATAAAGCCTGAGTGAATACAAGAAATTTTCCAATAAATGTGACAAAACCCAAACATGCACAGTAAAGAGCACAATGAAGAATTTTTCTAATAAAGATATCAAACTAAGTCTTATATCCTACCTACATCCTAGTTCCTTATCGTCGGATTCAAAACCAGAAAGAATTCAAATTTACCAGTCATGCAAAACAACAGGGTGCTTGGTGACAGCCGTTGGCGTCCAGACTGACCTGAGCTTGTCCGTGGCATGAGGCAGTGGAAGAGGTCCTGCTGTCCCATGGATCTCCTGCTGAATCCTCACGTTCCTTGGTGGCTTGGCAACAGAGTGAATATATGCCAGCTTCACCTGCCGGCCTGGCGCAAGGAAAAGACCCAACATTGGCAGTGCAAGCTAAGAGACCCAGAGCCACAAGCAGATCAAGGCTGTTCTGTCCTGGGATAAGTAGGTGACATCATCGCTAATGCACAACATCATGCATGTGCATACTGTGCAGAAACTAAATATGAGCCACCAAAGGACAACAGCATTGTTTGGAAATATTTAGTGTGGGACAGTCAGGTTCAAGCTAAAATGCACTAAGCAGACATTGGTATTCTGCATTAATTATCCCAGAATGCATTTCCACACAAAGCAACACCCACATATTATAAAACATTCTTGGAGCAGAATACCATAGATAGGAGGAAATAGCAAGGGAATTCGGAAATGGGACAGTCCAGCAAGGTCCTTGATCTCGTTAGACCAGTTGCATCTCTGACCTGCAAGGTCAGCATTCAGCTTAAATCTATTCATAGGGTCTGGCGACAGATGGTCAGATCTGTACGAGGCGGCTCACAGACAGCACGTGTGTTGGACACGCACCCTTCACACCAAAATTCACACCATTAATGGATCCAGGACAACTGCTGCCCATCTCATTGGAGTAACGGACAAAAGCTACACTGCATGAAAGACAGAATACCAGGCTGTCAGGCTGCAGAATCCCCTTACAAATCTTGGATATTTATCAGCTTATTAGCAATACTGGTGCTGTTAGACCCCGAGGGAAAGAGTGAAGGTGACACACCTTTAGGTTTCCCAGAGTGAGCAGAAACTATGCTCTTAGTCAGCCTCTTCAGCTTCCTCTCGCGCTCCTCGGACAGCCGTAGGTACATCTCCCTCCAGGACTCGTACTCCTCCAGCTTCTCATTCCTGAACTCCCTCTGGCAGTGTCGCTCCCACAGGTGATCGGTGACACCCATGTAAACCTAAGCGGACGTGCTACTGATGAGACCCTGCCATTGTTCAGGATGTGTTACTGAGCCACGGAGCGACCCAACGGACTCTTGTGTTTTTACACAGAAAGTAGACTCATCGAAACAGCCAAAGGTGTGTCAGACCAGAAGCAATTGGCCTCCCTCCAAAAGGCTTCTGGACCATGGCACTATCCGCAGCCCCCCCCCCCCCCCATGCTGCTAATCCTTACCGGGTTGCATCCTTCAATCCGGAGCAGCTGTTCTGGGGTACAGCGCTCCAGTACCGGCTCTAGAATATCAAACGGTACCCCTCCGATCTCATGGAGCACTGGAAGAGATTATGCCACCTTACAATCCCACAATGCAGTGGGCCCCGAGGGGTACAGTCAACCCCATTGCTTACGGTCAATGTTGTTTTGGAGAACACGGATGCATTGCTGGTACAGGGTCATCATGGTTGGGAGATAAGCAATCTTGGATCCTGAGTAGACCTGCATCTTTCTGTTGAGCCTCTGACCGGTGAACACTGGAGCATCTTCGCAGACCTCCGAAACCTCAACCTCCACTAAAAGAGCTCAGATTAACACCAATGAGTCCTTAAGAAAAAGCATTAAAAAATATATCTAACAATTCTAATCAGACAGGACAGTTTCTGATCCAAGGTTTTGGAGAAAGGGGTTTTGAAAAAAAGGATAAACACTTTAAAATGTGTTGGTTATATTTACATTTCTTCTCAAAGTACGAGAAACCGGACAAGTCCTCACACTCCGGAAGAGAAGTCGGCAAGGGCACATTAAGCAAGTCCATTACTGACCCAGTTGACACCTATGAGAAAGAAGGTTCTCAAAATCAAGAAGAAAAAAAAAGAAAAAAAAAAAAATCAATCCACATTTTCTGACACAGACCTAAAGCGCACAGGTGACTTCATTTCCACGTTACCTTTTGAGGCGACTGCTCCATCTGACATTTGATCAAGTCGTTGGACTCCTTCACTGAGGTTGTGCTTTTGCTGTGACTTGCTTTGAGCTTTTTGACAATCTTTTCATTGCAAGGCTTCTTCTTCCTCTTTGGTATCTTCAAACTGTAGTTCAGGCATGATTCGAAAGACAGGGTGGGTGTATCAGACCTCTCATCACTCTGCCTGTTATTGTCTGGAACCTTCTCTTGTTCCTTTGTGGCCTTCATTCTGTTGCCAGTTGGCCTCGCAGCTTCTTCGTTGCATAAATTCTTACCACATCCCCAATTCTTCCTTTTACTATAATCCAAAGATTCTGGTTTGACTTTGTCTAGTTGTTTGCCCTTGGGAGGGATTTTCAGTTCTTTGTCTTTCCCCCCCTGAGAAGAGGTCCTCTTCCCATCTTGTTCAGACCTGCACTTATGGGCGTGAGGTTTGTCATTAAACCGTTCAGGGGATCGGTTTACTTTGGGAGACAGATCTTTGGTGCTGGACTCAAGCTTGTTTGAGGAACCTGATTTGTTAGCATCAGAATCATCCTTTGATTCCTGTCTGGAGATCAACTGCTCTTTCTTGATGCTTTGATTTGACTTTCTGCAGTTAGAGACTGAATTTCTCTGCTGGTCTTTATCAAAGGGGCACATTTTCTGAGGTAAACCCTCACCTTTTACAGCCTCTTTGCTAATCTTCTCGTTTTCAGTCTTCTCTTTTCCACAGCCGTGATTATCTTGGTTGTTGCTGAGTAAAAACAGTGTTAGACATTTTATTCGTCAAACTCTGGCATTAAAAACATTACCATACCACCCAAGACACTGTACCTGGTGGGTTCCTTTGGAACCAACTTCTTCCACTGGTTAACTAACGTCTTAGCCACTTCCCCAGCATCGCCATGCTTCCGGAGGGAATTGACCGTTTTTCCTATCCCAGTTTCCTTGCAACAGGGTTAACAATGAACATCGGATCTCTGCGAAATGCATAGCAATTATATAGACAACGGGGATGGCCAACTTACTGCAAGGATGTCCAGGGTGACGTCCAACTCCTGAAGCTTCTTCAGAGCCTTCATGACCTAAGAAAATGCATGAGCTCATGAAGAACCACACTGCTTTCCCCGAGTGCAACACCCAGCCTGCAACCTTAGGGAGCCATCAGAGTAACAAAAACGACCGCTGACATTTGGCCTCTTACAATACGCAGAGCAGTAGTCTTACTGGGGGGGCAAATAGTTCACAGATTGGGATCAGCGCTTAACATTGCAAAACTGAAAACAGGTGGGGGTGATAAAAATGAGACCTTTCAGAAACATTCACAGGAGTGCCAAATATGGCTGGTCCTGCAGAAGTCGGAATCGCTGAGCTTGCAGGGAGATTGTGACGCTATCTATGGGAATACCCCCTTTACTACGCTCTATAAATGGGCAGCCCTAATGGCAGCAGCTACTGCTGCCGTAAAAAGAATTAGCTGACCTCATAGGCTAACCGTTATAACAGCAGGGCCGGCCTCCACCATCCCAGCACACAACCACACTGACATCAGATTTCACCAGCATGGGGGGTTCACGTTACAAAGAAGCCCTCCCCCTGACGGACTGCAAGTCAGGTCCCTCTGCTTCTGCTGGAGCCGAGCAGCTCCGCGGTTCTCTAAAGCACAGGCTACATTACCTGCAGAGCTTACACAGCACCGAGCGCTTCTTAAACTAGCCATCTTACGCATAGAAACACGTGCCGCGTTTAACTATCGTTCACACTAAACGCACAGGCACATACTAGTAAAGGCCTCCAGTACGCAGGGTGGCTTCCCTCAAAGTTTCGGGTGGTTTACTAGATGGTTTTGGCGTCATCGCCAAAATTTGAGCCGCTCAATGAACCCGGCAAATAAACTCCCCTGATCTCATTAACTAACCCATCCACCTGCCTGGATCACTACGCTTTACACACTAGATCAAAGACTAACCTTTATTACCAGGCCGGTATGAAGAAGACTAGCAGATGAATTTACATTAGCCAAATAAATGAACGCATTGAAATCCCCCCTCCCCTCTTAACTAAACCCGAAAACTGAGCAGAAACGACGCACAGCCTCTCTGTGTAAATTAGTAAAGCGGCTGCATTGGCAGCCCCTACGCTAGGAAATATCATACCGTCTTCATCTCAGAAGACTCTTTTAACTTAAGCTTTAATCGCAAAACTTTCTTCAAGGTGTCATTCGCAGCCATGGCTACAGCCGCCGCAGACGCCTCACCTGCGATGCGGGGCCGGGGCTCCTTGGTCGGCGTTTTATACGAGCTGCGGAGCGCCACCTTCCCGTTAAAGTGAAACAGCCCAGGAGCTGAAATTCCCGGTAGGTTCTCTACATGGCTTAGCGGCAACTGGAGACGTTTTAACCGTATAAACTATTTCATTTCATCATTTGCTCAAAAAAAAACACGTACACTGAGTTGATGCGTATTGGACGGGGACTCTACATTAAAGCATTCGGGTGTTCAAACGGGACAAAATGCAAGAAAACTAGTAACTACAATCATTTCAACCACATTAAATGATGATGTTGTACCACTGCTTCAGATATATTATTATTATTATTATTATTATTATTAATAATAATAATAATAATAATTGATGATGATGATGATGATGATGAAAAAGAAGATAGGGGGCATTAGTGGTTATAGTCCTACACTAAAAAGCCCCCGAGGCAGATAACGAATGTGACCCCAGTATTCACTGCGCAATCTGATCTGAGTTCACACACCCAGAGGAGGAGTTAAGACCAGTCCGGTCTGCGGGGTCCGGCGCTCCGTCTTTCTGTCTCCCACCCGCCGTGGCTTTGAGTTGCAAGTCATCTCATCTCCTGCTTTTCGTGTCCACTTTCGGTAAGTTGTACACCATTGAAAAGTCTCATGAAGTTTGACCAATACATTGATATTGTAATATTGGTCTAGAAGGCAATGCATCGGTATTAGAAAACGGAAAAACAGGAAATTTCCAAATTTGTTTTTACTCATTGAAATATCATATTTGGATCACGTGGAATGAAATCCTTTAGCGGTGTGCGTGCGACATAGCTATTGTACTTGTTTTAAATGTAATATCCCTGCTGCTGAGGTCAGCTATAGACCCATGCTTTCCTGAAACACACATGGAGGTAAACTCGCCTTCTGCCTGCTCATTAAGAGCTATGGAATCAAACTGTGAAATTGGTCAATATATCGTTAAAGCGTTAAAGACACATGTGGATCACGATGTTTTTTAATTTAATTTTATTTATTTATTTAGCAGGCTGAGTCTTTAAAAGAGCGACATGGCGACTTATCTGTGTTTCTATTCTGGGACGTCGCGCTGATAAATTGTGACAGATGCGAGCACAGGAACGTCGAGAGCGGCTCGGTCACACTGGGCGTTAAAACACTCATTTTATTCCTTAAATATGTGATATGTGCGCAATTTTATTACAGTGCTTACAGCAGTTTAAATAATTATATTATCCAAATATCATGTATGTATGCTGGGTGGGTACTACTCTAAATTGTGTATTAAACTATATGACATTTTGTCTTAAATTAGTATCAGACACATTTTCAACTAATTTCTTGGTGACTTTAAGCTTCCCAGTGCAGCTTCTTCAGTGTCTTTAACTGCAGTCTCCAATCTCCAGAAGAATTAACACCAGCAAACCCTCTTCCAGATCTTGGCTGTGACCCCTCACTGCAGTCATGGCACCCAAAAAGAACAAAGCCACGAAGAAGAACAAAGCAGACATCAATGAGATGTCCATGCTGGTGGATGATGGAGCCATCAATAAGATGAACGGGCTCAATGCTCTTCTAGAAGGTGGTAACGGCTTCAGCTGTATCTCCACTGAAGTCACCGACCCTGAGTATGGCCCGAGTCTCCTGGAAGGCCTGAGCACCATGAGGCAAGATAGCTTTCTCTGTGACCTGACTGTTGTCACCAAGTCCAAATCCTTCAATGTTCACAAAGTCGTCATGGCTTCCTGCAGTGAGTACATACGCAGTGCTCTAAAGAGAGACCCCACGGCCCAGAAAGTGGAGCTCAGTGATTTGTCCCCTGCTGGCCTGGCCACCGCCATCACATATGCCTACTCTGGAAAGCTCACCCTGTCCCTGTACACAATTGGCAGCACCATATCAGTGGCCAGCCTCTTGCAGATCCATAGTCTGGTAAAGATGTGCAGCGATTTCCTAATGCGGGAGATGAGTGTGGAGAACTGCATGTATGTGGCCAACATCGCTGATACATACAGCCTGAAGAACACCAAAGATGCGGTGCAGAAGTTCATGCGGAGCAACTTCATTGAGTTCTCTGAGATGGAGCAATTCCTGAAGCTTACGTATGAGCAGATTAGCGACTTCCTCATGGATGACTCATTGCAGCTGCCATCCGAGATTACTGCCTTCCAGATCGCAATGAAGTGGCTGGACTTTGACGAGAAGAGGTTGAAGTACGCTGCTGACCTCCTGGCCAACATCCGCTTTGGCATCATCTCAGCCCCGGATCTCGTCAACCACGTTCAGAGCGTGCCTAGGATGATGCAGGACACAGAGTGCCACCGGCTGCTGGTCGATGCCATGAATTACCACCTGCTCCCCTACCAGCAGAACATCCTGCAGTCGAGAAGAACCAAGGTCCGAGGGGGACAGCGGGTCCTACTCACGGTGGGCGGGAGACCGGCCCTTACCGAGAAGTCCCTCAGCAAAGATGTCCTCTACAGGGATGCCGACAACATCTGGAACAGGCTGACGGAGATGCCCGCCAAGAGCTTCAACCAGTGCGTGGCTGTGCTGGATGGCTTCCTGTATGTGGCAGGAGGGGAGGACCAGAACGACGCCAGAAACCAAGCCAAGCATGCCGTCAGCAACTTCTGCAGGTGAGCCTGGGATGTGTCAGGTGGGCTGGGCATCGCAGACATCATGACCTTTAGTTGAGTTAATAGGAACTAATCTATACCTAGTACCTTTCAGAGTGTGTCTGCATAAAGTTCCTCTCCTGTCCCGCAGGTATGATCCACGATTTAACACGTGGATCCACCTGAGCAGCATGATTCAGAAGCGAACCCACTTCAGCTTGAACACCTTCAACGGGCTCCTTTTCGCTGTTGGCGGGCGCAACGGCGAAGGCGCACAGGCCTCCATCGAGTGCTACGTGCCGTCATCCAACCAGTGGCAAATGAAGGCCCCCATGGAGGTGGCCAGGTGCTGCCATGCCAGCACCGTGATTGACGGCAAGATCCTGGTGACGGGGGGCTACATCAGCAACGCCTATTCCCGCGCAGTGTGCTCCTACGACCCCTCCACGGATTCGTGGCAGGACAAGAGCAGCCTGAGCACACCCCGGGGCTGGCACTGTGCAGCCACCATAGCTGACCGCGCCTACGTCACCGGGGGCAGCCAGCTGGGCGGCCGCGGTGAGAGGGTGGATGTGCTGGCGGTGGAGTGCTACAACCCTCATAGCGGCCAGTGGAGCTACGTGGCACCCCTGCACACCGGCGTCAGCACGGCCGGGGTTGCGACGCTCGGCGATCGGATCTACCTCTTGGGTGGCTGGAATGAGGTGGAGAAGAAGTACAAGAAGTGTGTGCAGGTGTACAACCCCGATCTGAATGAGTGGACTGAGGACGAGGAGCTGCCCGAGGCCACCGTGGGCATCTCCTGCTGTGTCATCACCACACCCACCCGCAAGAGCCGTGAGAGCCGGGCCAGCTCCGTGTCCTCAGCGCCCGTCAGCATATGAAGGTCCAGCAGGTAGGACCGCATAGATCAGGAGCAGACTGTGGAACAGAATCCACCCAGCCAATTATTTAATTGAATATGTATTTAAGATCTTTTTTTCCAACTCAACTTACCGAAGATGTGTTTTGGTTATATTTAATATTATAATTAGTGTAAAAAGTTTAAATTAAATATTTCTAGAGGTACATAATGTCCACTACCCAACATTGCCTCTTCAAGGCTCATTTTGATTGAGATTTTCAAGATTATATGCATTTCATGAGTAACAAAATTGTTTAAAAGTAGTTTTTGTAACTGAATGTGTCAGGACTTGTTGACACAAAAAACAAGGCAAGAGTAAAATGTGTTTTCTTAGTTATGGGTTTAAAACACTTAAATTAGTGTTTTTATTTCCCTCTGGGGCCAATTCTGCATTAACATTTTGTCTTTATCTGCCTGATCTCATGACAAAACATGAAGGAGTTGCAATGTGTGCAGCTAAAGTGCATCATTAACATTCATGCTGTAGCTGCATCAGCCCTTTACAATACACAGGGATTTCTCCATCTTTGTAGGCTAGTGGTTCTCACCACGTTGTCGTAAATGACACACCAGCAGCTCTTTGCGTTTTCAGGTTTCTCCAGACTCATGAATAATGTACATTTGACCTCTCTGCAAAACTGGGAATCGCGTGAATCATGAGACAAGGATGCAAGAGCTGTTATCTTCAGATAATAGATCTAAAAACTCCATGAGATGCATTTATGTATAGCAGCATAATTATATTAAAGCCAAAAAGTATTTTTTTTCTTTTAAATCTGCCACACAACTGTGAGTTACTGTAACCAGCACGCTGGAATGAGGGACAGGAAAGGTCACTTAAATCAGCACAAGAATGTAAGCCAGGAATAAAAGAACAAGCCCCTTACTCCCGTAGAGCTTCACTTTCACTTTTTACACATACCTAAGAAGCAAAAAGAGCATGCTGATGTGTTTAAGAAGCTGTCCAACAGACAACAACTGAATTCTATAAAGCTTCAGATTAAAAGTTTGATGAAAATGACAGGAAAATGTAAATGTAGCACTTTGCAGCAGAGGACACCGTGATGTGGAATCACACAAGTGTGACACGGGGCGGGTGCTGAGTGTGGTGTACTCGTGTGAGCTGGAAGGGTTGTTACTGAAGTGAGTAACTAGTGAACCAAGCTGAGAGCCTGGGCTGCCTGAGGGATGCGTGCGTGTTACTTTAACGTAATGCCTCAAAGCCTCAGACAGTTCATGTTTCAATGATTTCATGGCTTGAACTGAAAAATGTGAAACTCTTCTGTCTTCCAGCAGGACGTGTAAGACAGTACTGAGCTGCTGTATAGCAGGATGTGTAAGACAGTACTGATCTGCTGTATAGCAGGATGTGTAAGACAGTACTGAGCTGCTGTATAGCAGGATGTATAAGACAGTACTGAGCTGCTGTATAGCAGGATGTGTAAGACAGTACTGAGCTGCTATATGCTATTTATCCTTGTTT